ACACCGGGATATATCCCTATGTTTCTCCCTCTTTGGTTGAGAGCATTTGGAATACGTTCCGATGCTTGAACCACTCCGAAACACCGGGATACGTCCCTATGTTTCTCATTCCTTTCTGAAACACTGGGATATGTCCCTATGTTTCTCTCTTTGTTCCTCACACAATTTCGGCGTGTTTGGAATTTGACTTAGGTTGCGTTGTATGCACTTCTAATTGTTTGTTTTGGACCTCCTCTCATGATTCCGGCATGGTTGGAGTTTGTCACCCTTTGCATTTTTACTATCATAGCATTTCATTCGCGCTATCTTGCGCACCTCACCTGTACTTGTTAGTACATTGCATTGTTTTGAATACAAACCGGCTTCGCGTAGCGTATAAGTCCAATTATCAAAGTCTTCTTTCATATCATTTGCATCCTACCCCTGAACTACGCTGGTTTGATTCCTTGCAAAGGGATACGTAGGCAGCCTGCGGTGTAACAACCCTCACCTTACTCTTGCCATACTCGCATACATTCTTGCATGGTCTTGCTTGTTATGTTAATTTGAAGGTTTTATCTTGCCTTGAATTGCTTAAGTTGCTTGCATGATTTTGTTCCTTGCTTAGTGTGTGTGTGCGCGTAGCCGAGGTCATCTTGAGCTTAGTCCGCCTTTGAACCTTGTACTTAGAACTATCTTGTGATCTTGTTCAACCCCATCTTCACCTCGGGCATTCCTTGCCGAGACGTTTTGCACTTGAACCTTGTCCGCAGGCAGGTATGGCCTAGGCCGAGATGTGGCACACCCCGGCCAAGGTGTGGCACAGCTTAGTCAAGTGTCGTCCTCCCTAGCCGATGTTTTTCTATCCTGTTGCTGGATCCTTGTTTTGAGCCGATGTCATCTCTTTGCCGATGTGTCTTACCCGAGCTTGCTGCATACGATTTGTCAGAGGCTGTCTTGTCTATCAATCACCTTTTTGGAGCTGAACCAACCCGATAATGCCACGTGTCCGAGCTGTTTGTTAAGGCAGCCGACAGACCTTGAAACAAATCATTTCTTGTCTCAAATCTTTGTTTTAGAGAGAGAAGCTCTAGAAAGGAGGAAGAAGAGTTCTTGAGTGAGAGTTGTCTTCCAACCTTGATCCTTGTGGCTTGAACCGTTAGATCCGAGTTTTGAGGTTAGAATCTTGATCTCCTTTGATTGTTCTTGCTGAATATCTAGCTGCATTGCATGATCGGTTTTGTTTTGCATGCCATGCATCGAAGTTAGCTATTGTTCAAGTTGTTTGCCATGTGGTATATTGGTATATGCAGAGAAAATATCACCTAATGAAGTACGTGGACCATTCTATTAATTACTTGAAGAAAGAAAAAGTGAGGATTGAACTAATGACACAACTTAAATGTATTCAGAATTGTCGTAATATCACCCGTATGGGGCCCCAAGCATTTCAAGATTTGTGTCATATAATTAAAAGAAATGGTGGTCTGAAACCTACAAAACGTGCAACAGTTAAGGAACAAGTTGCAAAGTGTCTTTACATTTTGTCACACAGCGTAACGAATAAAAATGTTTCATTTTTCTTTCGTCGCTCCGATGAGATGTAAGTCGGCATTTTTATAGTTTTTTGAGAGCTCTTATATCATTGGAAGCTCGATTTCTTTGCCAACCTAATGGATCAGAAGTCTCTCCAGAAATACTCAATAATAATAGGTTTCATTCATATTTTAAGGTAAAAATTCCATATTACATTTCGCTTTACATTTTTAGTTTTATTTCTATATAAAACTGCCACATGATACATTTATCTTAGGATTGTATTGGAGCACTTGATGGAACACATGTTCATGTTAAAGTAACTAGCAAGGATGCGTCGAGATATCATGGTAGAAAAGGATCATTAAAATGTATTGGCTTTATGTTCATTTGACTTAAAATTCACTTATGTCTTACCTGGAAGGGAGGGGATTGCATCTGATTCAAGGATCATTAAAAATGCCACGCTTAGATAATCTGAAACTTTGGTTAAATTATATAGATTTAGGGGTTAATATATGTGTTTTGTTTTAAATAGGCAAATTTTATATTGTTGATGTGGGGTATGTGTTAAGGAGTGCCCTTATCCCTCCTTACAAAGGTGTGCGTTATCACTTGAAAGAGTATTCCAACCATCCACCGGAAAATGCTCGAGAGTTGTTTAACCACTGACATGCTTCTTTACGCAATAATGCCATTGAGAGATCTTTTGGTGTGCTAAAGAAATGATTTCCTATCATAGCAAGCACAGCTGAGCCTACTTACTCGATTAACACACAATCAGATATCGTAACAGCATGTTGCATCTTACATAACTTTTTAATAGGTGTAGATCCAAATGAAAAACTTATTTTTGAAGTAGAAAAAGAGATTGAAAATCAATGTCAAACTCAAGAAATGACTCGTGCACCAAGGGATACCAATGAGGATGCAAAACAAGGGGAACTCATTAAAAATGTGATAGCAGTTACAATGTGGTCTAATTATGTTGCTAACAAAAGTGATATTTTAGTTTTTACATGTTTGCTGGCCATCTTGATTTTATGTGATAAGTACTTGAACATCGGATCGGATGTATCCATAACTTTGTTATTGTGATGACATTATTGTGGTTTATGATGTTACTTTGAATTTATTTTGTTGTAGATTCTGATTGTAACAACCCTCACCTTACTCTTGCCATACTTGCATACACTCTTGCATGGTCTTGCTGCTTATGTTAATTTAAAGGTTTTATCTTGGCTTGATTTGCTTAAGTTGTTTACACGATTTTGTTCCTTGCTTAGTGTGTGTGCATAGCCGAGGTCATCTTGAGCTTAGTCCGCCTTTGACCCTTTGTACTTAGAACTATCTTGAGGTCTTGTTTAACCCCATCTTCACCTCGGGCAACTGAGGTTGACTAATTCTCTCGAAAATTATTCCATTTTTTGGACCTAAAACAGGAAAATTTTCAGTGCTCATAGCCTGACTTGCATGATTTTAAATCAGAAAATCGAACAAGCATGTTAATCTAACCCTCACATTGGTCAAAGTTGTTCTAGTAGAAAACCAAAACAAAAAATGAGAGGAGAAAACTAGTTTGGGAGAAGTTCGGCATGAATCCGGGTAAGAGAGAGTTGAGCAGCCCTCGTTGAATCGAGCTTATTCATTTGCATACTTGGATTTTAGCTATGAGGCCACCACCGTTGGAAAGCTTACTTTCGGGGCTTCATTTTTTACTTAAGAATCTCCTAGAGCCAAGTCCGGGTGGGGGAGATATGATTGGTTGAAGTTGGGTATCATCCCGGTTGGATCGAATCTGCGCGGCTTCACCAAAATGGGCATAACTTTTTCCACAGGAGGAATTTTAATGCAAGGTTTGCGCCATTGGAAAGATAACTTCCGGGGCTTCAATCTGGACACCCACTGGCCACTTTTTGGCCTTGGAAGCCACCACCGGCCATCAATTTATCCGACCGGCCAAATAGATGGCCGACCGACCATTTAAATACAGTGCCAACCGGCCAGTAATCTGAGGCCGATAGGTTAAAAGGCGGCCGGTGATCATCCTGTTAGGACGATGGTGTTTCTACTTGGTCGGTGGTATTCCCTAACATACAGAGAGCATACTCTTGAACTTTAGCAATCCCTAGAGGAGCAGGGCAGTGTTAATAGAGGCAACAGTGCTATGGCAGCGAGTTTCCGGGCGAGATGGGTCAAGCATGCATCATTCACGCATTTCGAGACAGGGCTGTGGCCCCCATCCTTTTGCATTTAATTTTTTAATTAATTAGAAGTTCTGTAATAATTAATTTAGTATTATTTATTCGGACTGTAATATTTATTTAGACCCTTCGAGTGAGGGCAATTGTGTAATAAGTGTGTGTGAGTGTGTGTATGTCTCCCAACCCCACATCTTTCTTCCCTTTGATTTACTAGCTTTCGATGGTTAGCTTAGGGCATGTTTCAATTAGCATACAGTATGATAGCATGCGTGCAACATTCATTAATCTTGCATACACCAGACTCGGTACATCATACTAACTGCATAAGTATTTCAAATCTAACTTGAATACATGCTACTTGTGCATTTTCACATATCATCTATAGACTAGCCGAGCCTACTTTAGTGACATTCTGTATGCGTTGCATTAGCCACTTAACATGGACTTGGATCATGCATTGATTGCTAACATGTTTTTGTTTTGGCTCGGAGTACGAGGTAAGCATTTATGCTTTAACATACCGCATGCGTGTGAGTGTTGCCATAATAGCATGATTACCATGAGGCTAGATGCTTATGTGATATAAACTGCTTGAATGGCTGTGGGTGAAGGTTAGATTGTTTGAGTTGGAACAACTCGTTAAAATCCGTGCTTTAGCCTACTTGCGAGTAGCAAATTTCAAACTGTTTTTCAAACAAACGGATTATGCAATGCTTCGTTCCAATTCAGGCCATTTGGTCTATACTTGTTTGCTGTGCGCATAACGTAGTAATTCTAGGCTAATAACCGGAATAAGAACACATAACGTTTTCAAAATTGGATATCACGGTTAGTAGAGGCCAATCTTCGGATCGGACGAGAGGGGGTGCTCATAGCTGACCTTCCCCAATCGTACCCAAGCTCCCGAGCCGAGGCAACTTTGGTGATGACGGACACGTGGCCTTTGGCACCGAGTCAGGGTTTCCTAAATTTCCCCATAAAAAAATAGTTAGGTGGCGACTCTGTATCTAGCAAAGCAGTCCATGTTTGGCACTTCTTTTCAAAAATCTGTTTCTCAAAACGATTTGCCGGATTTAGACTCTTTGGTTCAGATTAAGAACTGTAACAATTTGAGAGTCCTGAACTGTAGTGAGCCCAAAAAAACGAACAGAATGGGACTCATCCTCCCGAGGCGTTCGGGGACGTCTACAACAAGCAGCGAAAGGAGGAAGAGTCTTCCAATCCCAAAAAAGAAGAGGATGAGATGATGAAAATTCACAGCAAGAAGCCTTGGAATTGCTCAAGAAAAAAGAGAAAACAAAAGAGAATCGCCAGAAGAAGAAGAAGATTGCTGATCCTAACAAACCGAAGAAACCCGCATCCTCATTCCTTCTATTCAGGTCAGTCATTTTAAAATATGTTATAAGCACTGTACGGGGAGCAAATATTTCGGCAAGCCCGTACTCCTTTATTCCAAGCTCCGTTTATGTCCGATCACCTGCGCGCAAAGAATGGTGAGCTACCCAGCGGCGTGTGGCCGGAAAAACCCTCCGACGATCAAGTTAGCACACACCTTAGGATAGAGAGAGAGAGGGGGGGAGGTGTTTTAGTGTAAGAAAATCCTTAAAAAGTGTTCATCTGTCGCGTATGGAGGGCGCAGCCCTGCTTATATACCCTCTGTGCCCCATATCTACTCTCAGTCATCTCCTGACACGTGGCTCTGCTATCCCATCTGTCAGCATAAACCTTGCTGAACATCACCTAATCTCAACTGCCCGCCTTCATAGCTGGAGCTCGACAGTCGAGCTGCTCTATCCATGGCCATGCTGTGTTTCAAACCCAAGCACCTCACAGGCTAAACCCAAGGAGGACCGGGCTAAGCGGCATCCCGGCAGAGCCTAGCCCGGGCACCTCCTATGATCGGCCTTCCTGTCGATCGAACGGTTTCCTTGGTTGACCACGCCATTCCGGGCGCCAGTCACTCAACTTGTCTGGCTTCAGCCATCCCTGACCAAGCAGCTCGGTCCAACCGAGCGCTGCCTTGCCGAGCGGCTTCTTTACGGTCCGGGGTGGAACACACTTGCCCAATTTCTGCCCGGCCCAAGTTTTGGCGGCCCATCTCTGGGTGGATGATCGATCACCTCGGCCCCATGCACGGTTGGGCTCTCAACTTGCTCGGCTGTTACCTCGGCCCAATTCCAGATCATAAACCACCCTCTCAGTTGCCCCTTAATTCCGTCCGCGAAAGCGTGACAGGGATTACTCATTTCGACCGAGATAACATTTCTCCGGTCTTCAAGATGCCAAATTCTTTACGGTCCGGGGTGGCACACACTTGCCCAATTTCTGCCCGGCCCAAGTTTTGGCGGCCCATCTCTGGGTGGATGATCGATCATCTCGGCCCCATGCACGGTTGGGCTCTCAACTTGCTCGGCCGTTACCTCGGCCCCATGCACGGTTGGGCTCTCAACTTGCTCGGCCATTACCTCGGCCCAATTCCAGATCATAAACCACCCTCTCAGTTGCCCCTTAATTCCGTCCGCGAAAGCGTGACAGGGATTACTCATTTCGACCGAGATAACATTTCTCCGGTCTTCAAGATGCCAAAAGGCGATCGGGCTAGTTAACAATTGTCTGCAAACTTGCCCGGTTATACTCCTCGGCTGACATCTGTTCCTTTGAAAGTAGCTCGGTTGGCTCTTCGACTCTTCAACCCGTCGCTTCAGTCCTGACGTTGCCATAAACGGGGACACGTGGCGGACTGCCATTGGTCATCGAGCAGCCAACCCGCCGTTTTTGCCAGAATTTGAATTTGGGCGGCCTCTCATGCTTACATATACAAGACCCCCCTTATACCATTTCTTCCTACTGCTTCTTTTCTACCTGACGATTCAGAGCTCAAGCCATTTCCTCAGACTCGACTGCCATTCCTCGTGCTTGGAAGAACAGCTCCAACCCTTCACAGGTAAGATCTTCGATCCCTCGAGTTGCTATTTTCTTTCATATTACACACATTAGGGCACAAAAACGTAGCTCTTAGGGCATAGGCCATAGAATCCGTCCCAAACCTCCCACTGTTCTTGGTGTTCTTCATCTTCATGAAGAACACTGAAGAACTGGGGCGAACCGGGCTCCTGGTCCTCTTTTGATCCAAAAAACCAGTCTAACCGAGCAAATAACAAGTTCATCTCAACCCCAGCAAAAACCGAGATAACAAAAGGAAATGGTCGCTCAACCGGGCTAATATCTGGCCTGCTTGGGCAACCGAGCTCTTTAGTTAGCTTAGGAGACCGAGGTGGTTTGGCACCCTTAACGACCGAGCTAAAAACTAGCTCATTCCGCACGACCGCGCTCACACTTACACTTGCCCTCCTTTTCCTGCAGAGTCCAAGGGGACCACTGTCCATTTCTCAGGTTCTCAAGACCGAGCGATTAACAATTGCCATTGTGCCAAACACCTCAGCTGAGCTACCACAGTCCGGCCACAAATGGGGAAATTCCGCTTCCTAGTGGATACTCCGGCCGCGCTAGCCGCTTTCAGAGAGGAGTACGGCATCTCGGCCGACGTCCATCTCGAATTGGCAGAAGAGGAGACAACACCTTGGGGCAGACTAGACCAATGCCCTTTCACCGTGCTCTCAATTGTCGAAGGGGACCTCCGTTTCCCGCTCAACCCACTTATAACCGAGTTCCTCCGCCGCACTGGGCTGGCACCCACACAAGTGTCCACCAATACTTATAGAATAATCAACGGCGTTCACGAATTGAACAATCGGCTAGGCACCAACTTAGGTCTAGCCGAGATATTGAGGCAATACAATGGGACACACCGGGGATGGCCTAGCTTATTACTTGAAGATAAGGCCGGGCAAGGAAAAAATTGTAACCGGCACCCAGATAAAGATCTTCACGACGACGATTTTTTCTGGGTGTCAGGCAATTACGAAACAGCCGAGGTGCCGGGCTAGTTTATAAACAAGGACTTCGGTTCTTCATGTAAGCCACTCAAACTTGCTCGGTCAGCTTAACTCTTTACTCCGGTTTTCCTGTTTCTTTTGCAGCAATCCAAGCCTTGCAAGCTAACTATCAATTTCCCAATGTTGAGGCAATTCGGACCATGTTTCGGTATTCCCACCGAGATTGCAACGATTTACTCGGCTACACCCCGACCTACAGGTATTCTGCTCCACGCCGGAGTAGAGTAACTGACTTCCTTCGAGCTCCTTCGCCACCTCCAGACCTAACCCTTCCCGACGTCCCCTTAATCCGGTTAACAGAAGAGCAAGAAATGGCCAAAAGAAGTCGAATCAAAAACCTTCTAACCGCAACCTCGGCCGAGATACCGAGTGTCGTCGCTCTCTCCCCAGCTGCCGGTCAATCGAGTGCCGCCGTGGTTGCTTTAGCTTCTCCAGCCGCCGGGCAGTCTGTCCAAGAAACACGCCGGGCTGGCAAAAGACCACAGGCCGATCCCTCTGCCGAGCTCATCACCGAACTGGCAACCAAGCAACCGGTCGACAGGGTCAGCTCCATCCCAGCATGGCGGCCGCAGCTGAAGCACCGGGGAAAAGAGATCCCGGCAAATGCTTCGATCAAAGGCGACAAGGAGCACTTGCTTGCCTTCGATCTCTCCAAGGATTTATTGCTTCCCAGCGATGTGGTTGGAAGCGACCACGTCCCTGACACCCAGCTGGTCAAATCCGCCGTGAAGTCCATGACCAGGGTAAGAAGTTCAATCCTCTGTTTCAATTTTCGCAAGTGTTTGCACGGTTTCTTCTCTGATCAAATTCTAATTTTGCAGGCCATCCAAAAGCAGCACCTGGTCATGGAGCGCATCCACAGACTCCGGCAGAAGGCCAACGACACAGCCAGCTAGGTCGAGAGCCTTCAAGCCGAGCTAGGCCGGGCTAAGTCATCCCTTGAGATGGCCAACGCCGATAATAACAGACTGCTCGGTCAACTGGATGCGGCCGAGAAAAAACAAAATGAGCTCCAGACCGAGGTGGACACCCTGAAGAAGTCGAAGAAGAAAGCTTGCCGGGCTGCCAACAACGCCGGTTTTAACGAGGCCGAGCAGAGCTACAAGAAGCAAGTCTTTGCAACACAAGACATCTACTTCAAGGCCGACTGGAAGTCCACCTGCGAACACCTCGGCCAGGGCTCTGACACCGACGTATTTGCCAACCCTCCTCCAGCTTCGCTACCGGTCTACCTCGTGCCTTATGCAAATGACGTCTTCAGCGCTTTGCAAGCTGAGGCCGAGGAAGGACTTGAAGAGGGAGACGGTGAGACAGAGTCTGAGGTAAAGGAGGCTGAGGTGCAAGAGCAGCCCGGCAATAATGAGCCCGGTGCCCAAGACGCAAGTCCAACCATCAACCTTGATGCTGATGCTGGCGAGGACGAGTTCACCAATCTCTCCCCCTTAGTTTAGTTTTCTTTTCTCTTTTGTATTTTTGCTTTCAACGCTTTTGATGTAACCGGGCTATGACCCCACCTTTTGTATTGATTTTCTCATCAATGAAAAAGCCAAATTTTGCCAAGTGTTTGCGCGGTTGCCAACAATTCCATTTTCAGCAAAGCATCTCGGTATAAGTCATTGTTTGAACAAAATACCTCGTCGACCGGAATTCATAACTCGGTTGAAGTACTTAAGCAGAGCAAAACAAATTCATAAACCGAAATGACCATCTCGGTTGGTCATAACAAAGTTTGAACAAATCATCAACACTTCCAACCAGATTAGATCATCTTAGTTGGGAATCTGAAGTTGGACAAAACACCAGCTCTTCCAACCGGAGTAGATCATCTCGGTTGGGAATCCGAAGTTGGACAAAACACCAACTCTTCCAACCGGAGTACATCATCTCGGTTGAGAATCCGAAGTTGGACAAAACACCAACTCTTCCAACCGGGGTACATCATCTCGGTTGGGAATCCGAAGTTGGACAAAACACCAACTCTTCCAACCGGAGTACATCATCTCGGTCTTTAGCATTCAAACAACAGTCCAAGTGCTAAAGCGAAATTACTTCTATAAATTGACAGAAAGAATTACATGCTGTAGTGCAAGCCAAAAAATTTCTTTGCACAAAAAAAGAAAGCAAAAGCTTAAAAATAATACAGTTTCAAGTTGGCCGCATTCCATGGCCGGGGTATTGCTCTTCCCTCTACATCCTCCAAATCGTAAGCCCCCTTGCCCGCCAGACCGGTGATCTTGTAGGGTCCTTCCCAATTTGTCCCTAGTTTGCCTTCTCCTAGCACCAGGGTGTTGCCCATAACCTTCCTCAAAACCCAATCACCAACCTTGAATGGTCTGGGGTGCACCGTCTTGTTGTATTTCTTGGAGAGCTCTTGTTGGTAGGCGGCCACATGGATGAGGGCCTTCTCCCGACGTTCTTCCACT